CCAAAGGCGCAAAAGAGGAGAGACGATGATGGGAAATACAATCCGAGTAACTGCTTCCACCCCTTTTAGCATGCTAACCATTGCCACAGCCTCTCTTTACTGAAGGGACAAACCCTTCAAATTTCCAAAGGCCTTGCGAATCGCCATTTTCATCATCTTCCTGGTTGCCAAGAATTTCTTAACCTATCTCAACAATGTTGCCGTGTTCCCTACCTCCTCCAACTGTCCAACTCACCCATTTCTTTTAACATGTATGCAGTGCGCGAGTGGCATTGCCTTTCTTTGATACAAGAAATGTCTGTCACCATAATTTCTCACCATCTACCTTCTTTGTATATTGAATTTTGGGTGACAGATCTAAATGCCCAGCTAATTGAGTTGCTGAATGATTGCTAAGTTCAGCTCATCTAATGGATCGTCTTCCTCATTGTCGTCGAAAGGGAAACCAATTGCACCTCTCAAACCTACATATCAAGTCTGTCTGGCCAAACACTCATGGTGCTGATGAGTATCTTGTTAATGCAAGCAAGCTTTGACAGGACCCCCCCCAGAATTTCCCCTGAAACCGGGGCAGACCCCGTCTTGGTGCCGATATCACACTGATGCCGGGCCCACTTACTAAGAATCCAAGACATCCTACCAAAATTTTGGCAGAGTCTCCCCTGAAAAATGCTCAAACCCAACAATATTCAACCTGCAATATTTACATAAAAAAAATATATATATTCTAACTGCCAGCATGCTTTTAACATACAACAATCCAACATAAAATGGCATCCGGCCTCAAGTAGTAACCTAACATGGGCGATAACATAGCATCTACAGAATTTGTTTACAACAAACAGTTGAGTAGAAGGAATTTACATAGACCCTAACAACTGACGAAAAGTTTGGAGCTTGCAACCTGCTCGAACGCTTCCAAAAGCAACTACTGCCTGGGGGGCGCAAAACAGAAATATGTGAGTGGACAAAAATAAAGTTTGGACTTTAAATCAACATAATAACCCCACCATGTAAAAATAATGCTCTAGCATGCAGTTGCACAATTCATAAATCAAAACTCAAAACACATTATCCCAAAGTCCAAAACATCTCCACCTCTCAAATCCACAACTCATTTCCCAATGATATGCAACTCTCATCAACCCGTAAACACTCATATCTAAATATATATATATATATATAACTAGGACTATAATATAATATATACTTCTCTCCATACTAATGTACCGGGGAAACAATCCAACCGGGGGATTGTTAACTGGTACGCAGGATTTCCGAACACTAACCCGCGTCCAGGGATGAGTAGTCCAACCGGGGGACGGAACTCCATAGCTCACACGCCGGCACTGCCAACGACACGTGTAGCTCACAAATCTCATATCAAGTCCTACGCGCGCAGACAGTATCATCACCCCACCGGCACTGCCAACGACGTGTGTGATGATACTCAAGCAATATACATACTCTCCCCATACGCCGGCACTGCCAACGACACGTATGGAAAGTGTCTCACACACCGGCACTGCCAACGCCATGTGTGAGACCCGTAATCTCATGGCCTTCCCACCCCACCGGCACTGCCAACGACGTGTGTGATGATACTCAAGCAATATACATACTCTCCCCATACGCCGGCACTGCCAACGACACGTATGGAAAGTGTCTCACACACCGGCACTGCCAACGACATGTGTGAGACCCACAATCTCATGGCCTTATCACCCCACCGGCATTGCCAACGACGTGTGTGATGATACTTAAGCAATAAGCATACTCTTCCCATACGCCGGCACTGCCAACGACACGTATGGAAAGTGTCTCACACACCGGCACTGCCAACGACATGTGTGAGACCCGCAATCTCATGGCCTTCCCACCCCACCAGCACTGCCAACGACGTGTGTGGGAAGCCTAGTAACTAGGGAATGGTACTCACCTAACATACTCATACATCTCACAACCATCCCTCAAACTCACATCTTTCCACAATCTCACCACAACAACCTCTCATACTCTATACATAGACAACATAGATAGTCATCCCAAAATTCATATTAACATATTCATCATACTCAAATATATATATATATATATCCATACTCAAAATATATTGC